GCCGGGCAATCTGCCAAAGGTGGAAAAAGGCGGTGCAGACTACAGACACCACTTGGGTTTCCATGGTGAGCATCGGGTCCAGGTGTACCCCTAGGCTGCGAGCCCCATTCTTAGCAGCCGGGGTCACCCCCCCAAATGTGAGAGAGCCACCCAGGCCACCAACCCCAAGGGCGCCCCCCTCAGAACTTCCATCTTGTCCGGGTTCAGCCTCAGCTCACTTTCCTGCATCCACTGTAGTACGGCCACCAGGCAGCGCTGGAGGGACAGGAAGGCATCACCTGCAGTTGGTGAAAAGGAGATGTAAAGCTGGGTGTCATCAGCATACTGATGACACAAGGCTCCATACCCCCTGATGACCCCACCCAGCAGTCTCATATAGATGTTAAATGGCTTTGGGGAGATAATCGACCCCTGTGGGACCCCACAATTGAGGCTTCACGGGGCTGAGACACTCTCCCCAAGCTGTGCTCTCTGGGGTCTGTCCTCCAGGAAGGAACGGATCCAGGCTGTGACGCTTCACTTATCTGGTTAGTGAAGAAAAATTGACATGCAGTCTTTACCTTATTCAGGTAATGGTTAGTTGTCGGAGGACCAACAGAGACACTTTGCCCCTGTCAGCCTCCCTCAACAGGTCATTGTACAGGGCGATCAATGCCATTTCTGTACCGTGGCGTTGCCTGAAGCCCGACTGGAATGGATCCAGGGCATCTGTCTCATCCAAGTGGGCCTGAAGCTGATCAGCAACTACCCTCTCGACCACTTTGCTCATGAAAGGAACATTGGCGATGGGCCTATAATTGCCAATCTCGTCCGCCACCATATTAAGTTTCTTTTTAATGGGCCTAATGAGTGTCTCCTTGAGGGCAGATGGAAACCTGCCCTCAAGGAAAGCCTCACTCTAGCCTTCTCCTTATACACTTCAGTGCTCGGAGGTCCTGGTTAAACCAGGGCACTGGCCGAGCCCTACGATGCAAAGATCACATTCACTCCAACTGGAGGTCCAGTGTGTGACCACCCACATGGGTGGGGCCGTTGACATGTTGGGAACTTGTTCAAGGAAGCCATGGTTTCCAAGAACTCAAGAGCTGACCCAGATGCCTCTGCTCCCGCGTGCACGTTGAAATCATCCAAGACCAAAAGCCTTGGGGATCCCAATAGTGCTGCGGAGATAAGGTCGGTCAACTCCGGAAGGGAAATGGCTGGATCGGGGGGAGAGCGTGGTAACCCAGCAAAATCCCAATACCATCCCTGGTCCCAATCGACACGTGGAATGCCTCTAGACCCAGCTTTACCACCTAGGGGAGCCTAGTAACCTCCAAGTTGGATTTATAAACAATGGCTACCCCTCCCACGCCCCTCCAGTCTACCCTGGTGTTGGACAGCATAACCGGACGGACAGACAAGAGCCAGGGGAGGACCCCCCTTCCCGCTGATCCATGTCTCGGTTATGCATGCCAGGTCTGCATTCACCTCCAGGATAAGATCGTGAATCACCTGGGGCTTGTTGGCTACAGACCTGGCGTTCAACAGTACCAGAGTTAGAGTGGAGGGCTGGCTGGGCTGGCTACCTCAATACTGAGGGTTGGTCACAGTCTCAGAACAACAAACAGCCTTCAAACATCTGTTCGTTGTTCTTCTGACACGAGTAGGGACTGTGCCAACGCTATATCTCCCTCTGTCCATGATCACCGGGATGTTAAAAGGCCCCTTGCTGGGCAAACAAGCCTTCCACTCCATATCAATGTAAAAGAAAAGAAAGTAAAGAACAGAACCCTAAATAATACTACAACTTAAAAGAAAAGTGCAGGACAAATACAAATAGAAAAACAAATACAATATTATACAGTATTATAATTAAAATCTCAATTCAAAGAGCCACATATATAAAATTAAATTAAAAAAAACACCAAGAAGTTACCCCACACACACATATAGCCCAAATCTGTCCTCCTCCACCTCTTAATCTTGTCCTTTTAAGTTTTACTGGTCTTGATGTTATTGGAGCTATTTTTGAAGTTGTTAAAGTTGATGTTATTATTGATTTCAGATGTTGAAGAAGATTAAGTGAAAGCATAACTCTAATTTCAAAATGTCACTATATTTAAGGTATTCCACAACCAATTTCAGTTTCTTGGTAAGCTCTATAGTAATTTTTGGGGAAAGTTATTTTGGTAGCAGCAGAGGGCTACAATTCCTAGAATTCTCTGATCTGCATAATGCTGGCTATACATTCTGGGAGCTGTAGTCCACAAAAGTAGATTTTTCAAATGGGTAAATATTATGATTCACCAGAGATGTCTCTAACAATTAATCAACCATAAACCAACATATGGGAAAAGCAGAGGAGAGCAGGAAAACAGGAAGACCAAATATGAGATGGACAGATTCAGTAAAAGAAGCCAGAACCTTGAGTTTGCAAGATCTAAGCAGGGTTGTTAACAACAGGTAATTTCAGAGGTTGCTGCTTCATAGGGTTGCTGCAAATTGGAAGAAGAGTGGAGGCACACAAGAGCAACAACAAGGACAATATTTTATGCGGCCTTCAAGCAATCATAATTTTCTCTCCAACCTCCTCCTGCTGATCCTTGATTGCCTGTGGCTTCTTGATCTTCATTCCACCATCCATCTTCATCTTCTCCAATGGTCTTTTCGTACATCGCTGTGGGTACTGCAGCCTGAGACATATAATAATAAGTGAGAAAACTGCAGGCTGGGGTAAGGGGAAATGAATTCTGCAGTGTTAAGGTTTTTTTTCCTGTTCTTATCTTGGATTTCTGTTCTCAAGTAGAAGCAAAATTTAGCAAATGGAGCTGTTCTTAAGTTGGATTGTTCTTAAGTAGAGATGTTCTTAAGTAGAGACCCCACTGTATGGGAAAAGCAGTGGAGAGCAGGAAAACAGGAAGACCAAATATGAGATGAACTGATTCAGTAAAAGAAACCAGAACCTTGAGTTTGCAACATCTAAGCAGGGTTGTTAACAACAGGTAATTTCAGAGGTTGCTGCTTCATAGGGTTGCTGCAAATTGGAAGAAGAGTGGAGGCACACAAGAGCAACAACAAGGACAATATTTTATGTGGCCTTCAAGCAATCATAATTTTCTCTCCAACCTCCTCCTGCTGATCCTTGATTGCCTGTGGCTTCTTGATCTTCATTCCACCATCCATCTTCATCTTCTCCAATGGTCTTTTCGTACATCGCTGTGGGTATTGCAGCCTGAGACATATAATAATAAGTGAGAAAACTGCAGGCTGGGGTAAGGGGAAATGAATTCTGCAGTGTTTTTTAAGAAGTTTCTGAGGGTTGCAAACAATTATGGGGAAATGTCTCATGTGTTCTCTCTGTTCATTTGCAACTGTTCCATAGCACCAGTTACATCCCTTTCCAAGATCAATAACACAAAATACTGAAAACTGGGCACAGAGATACCAAGAAATAAATCCTGCTATTCTTGCACTGTATTGCAGCTGCCTCTTTAGGTTATATCCACCAGAGGGAAATCCAAGAGTTATACTTCCCACACTCCTAGGAAGATGTAAAGTTGCCTCGTATTGATTGGATCATTACACAGTCTAGCACAGTCTCATTTTGCGGCACCTATTTAAACACAAGTCTTTTTCTGCTTTACCTGGAGATCCCAGGGAGTGAATTTGACACCTCTCTTATTCAAAGAAGATGCACTGTTACTGAGCTGCAGCTGCTTCTTTTGCTGCTTTAACCACAAGAAATGTGAATGTTCAAGGAGCAAGACCTAACAGAGGTCTTCAAGGGAAAATGGAAAGTTATAGAAAAATAATTTGTGTACCATCAAGTCAATTCTGACTTATAGTGACTTTCTTTGGGGCTTTCTAAGTAGAGAGTACTCAGAAGTGGTTTACTATTTCCTTCTTGGGGTATCTTGGGACTGCAATTTGCCCAAGGCCACACAAGCCAGCTCTTCTGGAATGCACGGTGGGAAGTAAAGCTTCCAGTGTATTCGCGAAGGCTTTCACGGCCGGGATCTAATGGTTGTTGTGGGTTTTTTGGGCTCTTTGGCCGTTGTTCTTCCTAAGGTTGTTCTTCCTAACATTTCGCCAGTCTCTGTGGCTGGCATCTTCAGAGGACAGGACTAGCACTCTGTGCTCTGGACTCAGAGTGCTACTTCTGTTCTCTGAAGATGCCGGCCACAGAGACTGGTGAAACGTTAGGAAGAGCAACATTCAGAACACGGCCAAAGAGCCTGAAAAACCCACAACAACCAAAAGCTTCCAGTCTCTGCCTCCACAGCCAGATACCTAACTCATTGAGCTAGCTAGCCAGCAAGTAGAGCCAGAATTTGCTGATCAAGTACAGAGGAGCAGATCCTTTTGGTTCTCCTGTCAGTGTTTTCACAAACGTAAGCACTATGAACCTAATGTACTTTCTAATGTATCTCCAGAAGAGGGAGCTAAATAGAAATGAATGTGATACATATGTGGGGTGGGGGACACCCACAGAGACACACACATTCACACACATGTATATACACATTAAAAAGGAAATTATTATTATCTAAAACACCTCTTACCTTCTGATCTGTTCTCTAAATTGCTTGTTTTCTCTCAATAGCTGCTGGTTCTCCCCAACTAGTTTGATAATCATATTGCTAAGAAACTTCTTCTCACTTTTGAGCCTTTCTGCAGCTAACAACAGGTCTGAAACCACCATCCTTCTACAAAACACCAGAACAACATGAACACATGTAGAGAGTGCTTAGATTTTTAAAAAATGCATCATCAAATCATATTTCCACATATTGTTGTGACTAACAGCCTTTTTAACTTCAGCACTAACAGGACAACCCAAAATAGTGATGAGTTCCCAAATCTTAGTCAACAGAGGAGTTTGGTTGGTAGAGGACTCTGTCAGCTAGCAAAAAGGATTGTGCCTCATCCTAACACTTATAGCTGATGCCTCTTTGTGTTAGGATTGCATTGCCCTTGGGCAGGTACAGTATGCATCTAATAATTAATATATAATTATGTGCCACCAATTTGATTCCAAATTATCACCACCTCTTTCAGGTCTTCTAGGTACAATGAATCCACAGGTGGTTTATCAGTCTTTTCCCCCCATTACTTATGTTTACACTTTAAACACAAGGACAGGAAAAGCTGGGGAACTGTGCAATATAGCAGAGACGTGTCAGCTGATTTGCACAGCATCTGGAAATTCTGCCTCAACCTATCCTGCTGGATAACACAGTGATTTAGGTATCTGGCTGTGGAGTCAGAGATGGGGAATTTGATTTCCCACTGTGCCTCCTTGATAGGGGCTGGACTTGATGATCCATAGGGCCCCTTCTAGCTCTGTAGTTCTAAGATGATGCTGATGATGATATGATGATTACCCTAAACTAAAGAATCATGTGTCAGATTTGCTAGAGTCCTGGGATCTTTAGAGTTCTTTCTGTGTGACCCACAATCTCTCGACTCAAATGTCTCCCACCTATATACTCACAGTAGCAGATGCAATAACTTAGAACACAAGTAAAATACTGTATGCTTCTAGATGCAGTGAAAGAGGGTTTCACCTAGCTCCTTGATCTTGAGTGTAAAGTCAAACATGAATCTACCTTAGCAAGTTGCCCTTTAAGCACCTCAGGCACTGGCCTTGTTTGTGAGGTAGCATGAGATCATAACAGTGCAAATAATACTAACAAACCTGATGCAAAACTCCCCCCCTCCCTACAGTAATATTTTCAGTGACTACATTGCAGCAGCTGGAAGCGCTACACCTTCCTTCCAGATGGAAACACAAAGCACAATGTTTGCCAGGGCAGGAGCTGAGTGCCTTCTTACTCTCCCAAATATTCCAGGTTCTCTTCGGTTAACCTTTGTCAAACATGAAGCTTAATAACCGTATTTCTCTCTAATGATCAAGAAGGCTTAGTATTATAAACAAAAAAGTCTTGGTTTTTGATTTCTACAGTGTATCACTACACATTCATATTTATTCATTCATTTGGATATCTCAGGAAGGGGTAAATAATATCATTGCACTTCTCTTCCTTTTCTACCTCTTTTAAAAAGAAACAGATTCTAAGCTGTCTTTATACAATATAAGGAGTGAAAGAAAGGGACTTTTTCAGTGCTTCTAAATGTATGCATTTCCTCTTTATGGTATGTACTACTTCCATGAAAAGGAACTCTTTCCGACCATGTGTGTAGCTACAGAAAATAGAGAAGATTAAATTTTTGAAAATTAAAAATGGGAGGGAATTGAAGGCTTGGACTACTGAAGACATAGAGAGAGAGGTGGCAAGAAGGGTGAGTAGAGGTCATCTTATCTGCCTGCCCTATTTATAATCTAGAGCTGGGGTCTTGAACCCCCAGTCCGTAGCCCAGGACCAGGCTGTGGCCACGGCAGGACCAGGCTGTGGAGACAGATTTCCTACACCCAACGAACGCCCACACACATGCATGCCCATGTACACCCCACCCACTCATGTGCATCCCCGCCTACTGTGCACATGCCCCATAATTTCGTACTGCCCATCCAAGCATGCACATGCATATGCCCCCACCCACCCGCACGTGTGGGGATGCACCTCTCCAAACGGTCCGCAGTTTGGAAAAGGTTGGGGACCACTGGTCTAAAGCATCAGTTCTTAACCTTTTCTTCACCACGGACTGCCTTTAAATATCTTTTGTTGCCACAGACCACCAAGACTTAACTCAAGATTTAAAACCATAAAGTGCATCAAATACTTAATTAAAGTTTCTCATGAAGAGTCTCATCAGCAGATATTCCTTCCTATAATGATGAGACGTTTTAAGACGACTGAAAGAAGATTCATTTTGGTTGAACAGGAAGCACCCTCATCAACATCATCAGTTGTTTTATGTTTCAAATTCAGACAACAATCCATTCTGAAGCTCAGCCAAAATATATTGTTATGAAATTCAATGCAATAGTAGTAGAATTTTGAAGTAAGTTATTAAATTGCAGTGCTATGCATTAATGGAGACTTGTTAAATGCTTCAACCAAAATCTGTGCAGATCATCTGGGCCAGGTGCACTCCAGATTTTCACAGCCTTTACTTGCCTTAATCATTTCAGTTGTTATTACAGTATCATCCATATGTTTTCCTTTAGTTTCATTACAAATGTCTTTAATCCATGAGGCATTTTTGGTAATTGTGTGTTTTTTCTATATTGTTTCAAGTGTCCATCATATATTTTGATTGTCTTTGCTGTAGCTATAACCCATTGTTTTAATTTTTCCATAATGTCAACAATTGGTTTCCTTTCTAAGTTATATATTTTGCATAGTTTGGCTTTTACTTTTTCATTTTTAAGTTTTGAATTGTTCAAGTGTTTTAAGTTGCTATTGTCTGTTTATTTCCCCCCAGAAAAAAAAAAACTTCCATTTTGTAGTGCCAGGAATTTTCTGGGGTTTTGCAGCTTGTAACCAAGTTCCATGGTTATTATAGTAACTGTGCTATACATGAGCTGGTTTATTCTCTTTAGCGTGGTGGTGGTGGTGGTGGTGGTTGCTACTTGCTGCTGCTATTGTTATTTTCCAGTTCCATCCTCCCATGAGTTTCCATAGATGAGCAGGGATTTGAGCCCAAGTCTCCTAATTTTTGATCCATCACCCTATCCACTACACCTCACTGAGTATCTGACACTTGTTTTACAAAATTCAGTGCACTCTGAAGTTTGTGAGCTGTGAACAATTACCTTTTCTGGGTGATCAGAGTAGATGGGAGAAAAAAAATAACATTGTGATATCAACTACTTAAAAAATTTAACATGTTATTTTAGTCTTCCATAATTCATGAGAACAATAGACCAAAGGGTCTCTGGCTTTTGGGTTTGAATGAATCATACTCATGTTTGAAAAATGTTTGCCTGTTGGTTGTTTCAATACATTATTGATACATCCTCTCATCCATCTGCCCTGGCCAGTTCTGCCTCGTCCCTGTGCCCCCAATAGGTAAATAGAAAGAGAAAAAAGAGCAGAAGGAAATGTATCCTCCTCCAAGAAAAGGACAAAAGTTGACACATACTTCCATAAAACTTTTGAATGTTGATTTATGTATATAGCTATGAATTTAGAATGGACTGCTGTGATTTAAATGAAAATACTGTACACAATGAGGAAAACTGTGAGTAAGAGTCCTGTGACCTATATATTCAGGCTGCTGCACCAATGCTAACTTGATGGGGAATGCAATTACTATTACTATATCTTCTTATAATGCTGATGCTGCTCTTGAACAGTCCTTCAACCAGAACAGTGATGGAAGGGGGCATGTGGCTGAATGCCACTCCTACTAGCCCTAGCCTTCATAGCTAGTGGTAAAGAATTATGTGATATTTAGTCCAGAAACATTTTTCCAGGTATTCCTCATCCTGAAACAATATTACCTTGGAATATCCCCTGTACAGCAAGATTTTCCATAAATAGGCATCAGTTCAGATGATTATCTCCTCCCTCGGATATATGCAAGACAGCAACTATTGGACTGGACAGATTGCATGCTAATTGAAGGAATGTTATTGTCATTTATCACGCTGCCACCAGTTGATCTCTTTACCAACTGTGTTTCCTATGAAAGACTGAGGTCCATTCAGTACTTAACTCTGAAATAAGAACAGGTTTATTGGTCACAAATTGTTACAGAAATTGTTCTTACACACATTTTTAAAGTAACACAAAGCTTCAGTATTTCCCTTAACCTCTTCTCCAGCTGATCGCACTGGAGAGAAGCTGTGTCTTTTTTATCTGTGGTATAATGTTCATATGGTCCACTGATATTGATGTTTTCAGCAGCAGGCTGTGTACTGTGAAAAAAAACACTAACTCTTCCATTCCAGTGTAGTTCAGGTCATTATTTGAATTTTTTTAAACGTTCTTTCTATATGCCAGCCTCAGAAACCATGACAACCTCTTGCCAAACTCCAAGCAATATTGGAAAAAAACATCCCTTTTATGTCAAGCACTGAAATCTCTTTTATCACAACTGAAATATCTATGGATATTTGTTATTTGCTCAAGGCTAAATCCTGCCAGGCCCATAAATTCACACAGAGCACTTGGACTTCAGAGTCTGTTTGGGGCGGGTGTGGAGGGTGAAAAATTCCACTGTGTATAGCATTAAATAGTCTGGATTTTCAGCTTTCTTTTGAAAATGCAAGCATCCACCCAGGGTAGGCTTTTAACTGACATGTGTAATTTTGCAAAAATTACATGCGTAAAAGCAAAATGGCACATGGCAGTATTAGGCTTCTTATAAAATAATGGGAAATATGTCCAGAAGCCTGGTGCTGACTAATAGAGCAGGAAAATGGGGCTACCCACACATGGGAAGGTATTTTGTACATGCTAGGAAGCCCTCCCAGTTAAAAGGAAGAATCAAGAGACAAAAATAGAGATCTGTGGTTCTGTGTTAATAATATACTGCCATGAAAATGCAGCAACAGAAGTGCATGAATGTTTCTTACTGCAGCCTGAGTGGGTATTAGGGCCTGCTTCTGGTTCTTCTTCAGCCCAGTTGGGTCTGATGGGCCCATGCCCATAACCCTGAGCTATGCAGCTGCTGGATTAGGCCTCTGGCAGGAGAGTCTGAGGTTGGGACTTTGATTCCCCACTGTGCCTCCGAGGGTCCCTTTCAGCTCTGCGGTTCAACTAGTACTGTTACTATGATTACTATTATAAACAAAGGCTGGGGGCAGCCAGGATAGCAGCATGCTGGACAGGAGCATGCTCTGGAGTAGAAGTCATCAGGAAAATTTCTCAGGAAGGGTGTAAAAGGCTGACAAGTAGCCCTAGACCTTTCAAAAACAGTGCTTGTGGAACACAGCCTAACCTTTGCCAGTGTGCACAGCTAAAGGGAAGCCTGCGACTGGCATTTGTGAACACAAGGGTTATATATAACAGGGTGGGGAACCTTTGCCCTTCTCAATGCTTTGGATTGCAATTCCCATAATCCCCTTACCTTTTTCCCTGCTATTTGGAGATTTGGGAAGTTAAAGTCTAAAACATCTGGTATGGCAAAGGCTTCCTACCCCAGGAATCTTTCCTTGGAGCACCAATATTTCCCAAACTGAAGAACTGATGTGATGATGATGCAGGTCACACTGGTCTGATGAGCTAGATGAACCAGAGGAATGTATCCTGTCCTGACTGCAAGCAGAAGCCCATAGGAATACAAGAGATCTTTGAAGGTAACTTTGGCAGCATGGTTACACAGAATTGTGGAAACTTGTGTAATTCCAAGGAGATCACTTGTAATGACAAGCTCAAAAGCTCATCTGTAGACTCTCTGTCAGGGCCAGATTACAGCCATTCAGGCTCTATCAATCCTCGAGCACAGAGAGGTCTGAAAGGCTGAAGGGCCAGATTACAGCCATTCAGGCTCTATGAGCACAGAGAGGTCTGAAAGGCTGGACCTGTGATTTGAAGTTTGTTTTGCAGTCCATCAAGGAGTTGAGTGTTGCCTTTTCTGGGTACATTCAGGAAGAATTTGTTTCAGATCTTAGTCTGAGATACTAGGCACAGTACTAATTCTGGCTTTTATAATGCTAAATGGTGTGGAATGAGAGCACTAGAAAAATAATCTCTCTCCACACATATCTGCCTTAAACATTCCATTTCTGAGACACCTGTTGGAGTTTTTAGAGCCTCACATGGTACCAGGAGAAGGGGTGGCTGGGAGAGGCCTTTCTGGCCTGGGGTGACTGTTAATCTAGCCAGGAATAACCAATTGTTCCCTCTTACCTCTGATTTCAGAGAGAGTTCTACATCTCTGCTGAGAGCCTTTTTCCCTCTCTAGAGTCCTTAGTTTCTATTTTTTCCTACTATTTTTTTTATAGTTTTTTAAAAATTTCCCCACTATCAATTTCTCAGAGTGAGTCATAGACACTCTAATGGCTGTTAGTGAGAAAATGGGTGAACTACTCTGGGGAATTTGAAGCTATTCTGCTCTGTGAGTCCCTGCATTTGTGCTGTGCAACTAGAAGAATTTAACCAAAAATTCTAAACTCTGCAACACTTTCCAATGGCCCTCTCTCATCAGATGTTTCAGGTACCAAAGTTAATGGCTTTCTAGCTGTACGATTGACGATTTGGAACACTGTCACACAAAGGTATTGTGCATAAGTATACATAGTTCCCTTACTGGTTGTTTTCCAGAAGGCAGCAAATATCATTCTGTTTTAGAACTTTCCAGCTTTCAGTTGTTCTGTTGCTCTGAAGTGTTTTCAGGTGGTTGTATTTATTTTTAGAGCACTTTTATTGGTCAAAATCCTGTTGCTTAGTGCAGTAAATTCAGTAAGAGTAGATCCCATGAATCAATGGGGATTTGGTGAGTCAACTTCTCCATAATTTTCATTTATTCAAATGAACCTACTGTAACTGTGACTTACTTTTGGGTGCAAAACTAGTATCATTTTGGCCTGGTTCTGCCCACTTATTGCTCCAGCTCCATCTATCATTGGTTGTAGCTCCACCTTCTATTTTGTTCATCACACAGATGCATCTTAGCTTAAAATGTCCATGGCACCATCACTTTTCTTGGTGCCAATATTTTTAGAATAACAAGCATTAATTACTTAACAAACATACAGAAGCACTTAATCAGAGAATGTTGGGGATCCTCAAAGCCATCATGGACATGCTGAGGGTTTCTAAAAGCATTACAGCCATACCTAGAAACAGCTACCATTCAGAGGCTGTGTAATGGCTTAAAATTCCCAGGTGTTTTGTAAGTTGATCCATGAAGAAAAGGGGCTGTGGGGAACATGAACAAAAACCTGAAAGCTTGGACAGCAGTCTGTGTGGTAGAATTTATCTCTTTTTATGACTCTTACAATCAGTGTGGGACTCACTCTGCTGGGAAGTTGGACTGACCCCCTAACCTACAGTTTTTAGACAATCCCCCAGCTTATTACAAACAATTTATACTGTGTTAGGTTTACTAGAAGTCAAGTATGACCTTCTGAAGTGGGCATTTTTATCAACAGTCTGTGAGTCCAAGCAAGTCTCATACTGTGGGTGTGAATCCTTTGTGGTTTTGTGGTTCTTAATGACGTTCTACTACCAACAACAGTGCTTGGTCACATCTTTTGAGCAATTGGTTACGGGATTTATTTTGCACTCTTCCTCACATCCTTGTTGGCTCAAAATGACAAATACAAGGTAAGAACTTTAAAATACTGTATGTTTAACATTAGAATTGCAGCTTTAACGAAATATAAAAAGCTACAGGCAGGCTATTAAATGTTTTTCAAAGGGTAAAACGTATATTGAGGAACTGACATTTGAAAGAACAATATGTTCTTGATGGATCTAATGTTCCTTTCAGAAAAGAAGGGCAGCTTTTAACAGTCTCACGTCTGTACGAGGAAGAACAGGAACTCCAAAAAAGTAACACGAAATTAAACTCATTGAAGTAACTCAGCTTTTTCCTTTCAGTTTTGATGAGGTAGCTGCATCTTTTTCAATATAAAGTGAGAAAGTAAATAGGAGCTAAATGAGAAATACACAACAAGTTGTTATATGTAGGTTTAAAAACCAAGTATCTGCTTTGTGAATTTCTGAAAGGTTATGGTTATTCCTATATGAATAAATCTAAGATCTCTTTGTTGACTATCTAGCTTGAAATAGGTGATATGTGTAAGAAATCATGACTGCAATACTAAGCTTAGGCTCCTCATTGCTACCCTATGTGTGGTTAATAAAAGCTGCAATGCAAATATATAATAGTCTGCCAGTAGCTTTTTATATTTTAATGCAATTGAACAATTTCTCCTGTTAGTAAGTGGAGCTGCCATAGCAGCTGTTTGGCGGTAATTAAAAGCCACTCCCCCGGCAAGGTTTTAGTAATCCTTTTCACCCTGGGGAAGCCTTTGGGATCTGTGTAAGAGAGAAATCTCTTTAATGCCAAAAAAGCATCTGCTATGAGTTCTGGTCCTACTCCTGGGACTGCCACTGGTGATTTTGAGGCATTAAAGAGCCCTTCTGTTCTGTGACTCCCAAAGGCTGTTAGGGATCCCTAAGGATCCCCAGAACCTGAGGGAGAATAGGAAACTTTTAGTCCTCCCCCCAAAATCGCTGTGAACAGTGATGTCATTTGAATTGTGCCACACAAAATTGCACAACAGGATTCCAGCCACTTTGAAATACATGGCAAATGAATTTTATAAAAAATACTTATAGGATGTTTATGGCAATCTGAGTATATGCACGTTCTCAGGGTTACTCTAGCCTCTTCAAAGGATACAAAAGAAACATTAGGTTGCTATGCTCAGATCATAAGAGCATTCCAGCCTTTGCTCTTCCAGAAAGCCAGGCCAACCGGAAGGTGCAACAACCAACCCTGTATTGACTTAACTATCTTCACACATGCATGGGAGCTACACTATCGCTCCTTGCTTTTTTGATGAGAAGGTCTTTATATCTTGGCAAGTGGGTGACCAAACACTACCTTGCTGGGCCTCAGTTGCCTGTGTAGGAGGTAGTAATGCTGCTTGAAAAACCAGATAGGCAAAGCCCTGGGCAGAGATGCCATCCATCTGACTTTCTGATTGACTATTCACACTGGTGGATCCCAATGCTAGCTGCCTTATTTAGTCCTGTAGACAGAACTGGGGAATTATCTTCAGAATGGGCCATTGTAGTACCTATCTACAAGATGAGTGCTCAGTCAAATTCCAGGAAACATTATCCTATAAGTCTCTTAGATGTAGTCAGCAAATTGTATGCAAGGCATCTTTTGGACAAACTAGAAAACTGGGTGTCTTCAGAGAACCTCTTGGCAGAGGAACAAGGAGAATTCTGCTGTGGCAGGTCAACAACTGACCACTGCTTTTTATTGCAATATATAGTGGGAAATTATACATCAGCCACCCCCACCATTCACTTTTTGTGGCTTTTGTAGACTTTAAAGCAGTCTTTGACTTGATATCTTCATCCCAGCTTTGGAGCAACTTGGAATCCTCGAATATATGTAGATTGCTCAGGAGAATTCAAGGACTATGTGAGAATTCCACCCTAGGGATAAGAGTCACCTCTGATGGCAGTCTTTCAGACCCAATCCTTGTAAATAAGGTAGTCTGTCAGGGATGTTTATGAGTTCCCTTTTACTTAATTTATACTTAAATGATATGGCCTCCTCCTGATTCAGTCCCAAGGTTTTCCCATCCCATCTAAAGGACCATAATAGATCAATACTTTTGTATGCAGATGATACTATTCTCCTATACTCAAGTGGGGATGCAAAGATTGTTAGGGCCTTAGGGACCTATTGTGCCATGGAACATCTCCAGATAAATGACATTTAAACTCAAGTTTTAGTTTTGGGGGGAAAGGAGGAATAAATACAGATAGTGGCTAAAGAAAAAAAAGGTCTAACAGATCAACTTATATAAAAACCTTCAAGTTATATTTTAAAATTTAGGAACATGGTCAGATCACTTAGAATCGTCAGACTTTCCTATCGTACCATTATCTGCAGTCGATTACCCAGCTCTGGCAGGAGGCAGGATGACAAGTCTCTCTGCTAAGTCGGAGAGTGGATAATCTATTGTGGAGAACAGTGTGATAGGAAGCCTCCATGGAACCGGTGGCAGTGGCAAAATTGTGAGTGGGCGCTCTGGCCCCATGGGGCCGGACCCCCATGTGTGCGGGGATATTCATATACAAATACAAATACCCTCATTCTCGTCTACAATATAACTTCCTTTCTATTAATCTTGTTTCCTGGCTCTTTTTTTCTCATTTGCATTGCTAAGTTAACACTGAATTTATAGTTTCTGATGTTACCTACTGCTAATGTACCTTGGAAATCAGCTTTTAAAAAACTATTTTAAAAATCTAGAAGAAACTAGAGATGGACATGAACCATCGGTTCGGCCGATGGCTGCACAGCTGATCTGCAGTTCGACACCCCACCCATTCCAGCAAGCCCCCACTCAGAGGCAGCACCCTGGCCTCCCGGCCTTACCTCCTCCAGGAACTGCCTTTAATCGGGTGCCCACCAGAGGAAACCCTAGGAACAATATTCTTTGCTGGAGGGTAGTGCTAAGCACTAGGTTTCATGCTTCTGGTGGAGTGGATGTCAACTGCTAATCCACTTTGGAACTCTCTTTACAAACAACTCCTTTAAAAATATTGCAGAAACCCTTTCAAAATAGTCTTCCCTGATGCATGTGTTTGCTTGCTTGTTTGCTTGCTTAATACTGGAATAGGCCTAAATTGAAAACTTCCAATGAGAAAAGCTTCTGCCATCATCAGTAAAAATAAATGAAGAAATAAACAAAATACATACAAGAACTTATTTAAACCATCTCAAAAAAACAAGGTTTGGGGTCACAGTTGATAACTAGTGTAAAGCTTGCACCGTCTATGTAATGAGAAGACAGATATATCAGTGCACAAAATGGAGAACAACGGCTTCCAGTTTATTAACCCCTAAAGTCTCCTATAATCATCATCATCCTAGTGTGCTATCAAGTAAATTCTGACTTATGCCAGCCCTTTCCAGGATCTTCTAGGTACAGAGTACTCAGAAGTGCTTTACAGTTCCCTCCTTTTGGAGGGTGCTCTGGGACTGTGCAGCTTGCTCAAGGTTACACAGGCTGGCTCTACTGTTAGGATGTACAGTGAGGAATTGAATTCCCAACCTCTAGCTCTGCATCCAGATAACTGACTCATAGAACAATGTCCCCTTAAAAATGAACCAATTTTTTCATGTTTTTGCAAATTCCCAAGGTGATTCAAGACATTCGGTTGTTTTTTTAGTCTCATTGAGTTCTGTGGGTTCAGTCTGACTAGATCTGGCTTCAGATCAATAATTTTATATTTCGAACATAACTTAGCAACTCGTTTTAAAAAGGTGTGAACTATACTTCAACGTGTTGCTTAGGATATGTCTAGCTGCTTGCAGAACCTATTTTTGGAAAAGTGGAAACCACAATTGCAAGAGGAGCATAGCTTGTAAGTTTGTATGATCAGTACACAAGGCATCACAGTTTGTGTGATCATACACAAAATGGACAAGATCTACAGACATCTGGTTGAGAGGTTACTGCGATATAGCGCTTACCTTCTGAAAGAAATATGTACAGCAGTCTTCTGACTAGTGAAGAAACAATCTATTCCAGGTAGTACAATTTTGCTGCAAATATCTGTCGGAGAAGATGAGGTCTGCCTGACCTCACACTGTACACTAAAGAAGCTTATTTTCTGCACTTTGCTGAGGTGCAATGTCTATTTCTTTCAGATAATTTAGCAGTTTCATACAGTAGTCATGAAACAGCAAGAAACACTATGGCTGACAAAATTATGGTTATAATTACTAGTCATTCCTGGTCAGTGCTAAATAATCCAGTGGACGTGCCATGAAATTTAGGTTTGGTTAGTACACTGCCTTCCTCCTACAAAAACAAACAAAATAAAGTTGCTAGCACTTAAAACATGTTAGTCAGGGCCCTGAGCGGTGAGCCAGTGTTTGAGTTAACATTTCTCTGCCTGCCCGCCTGCCCATATGAATGTTTGCCTAGATGTGTAAATGAATCAGAATGAATGAATGTGGTTGTCAATGTCTCTTTGTGAGTATGAAAGCAAATGCCCACTTTTAAATCTAATTTCCATTCCTTCTGCCCCATCAACCACAATGACGAGAAAGTACGAGAGCATTCACTGCTCATAGGTTAAGTCCCACTAATGCAGGGGTGGGCAATTAATTTCTATAGGGGGGGCCACATGAAAAATCTGAACTGTGTTTGGGGACCGAACCAACTTTACTTAAAAATAAAATGAAACAGTGATGTTAAGATTGTTTTTATTTTAAGCTTGTTAATCTTCACAAATACTAAAGAGTTTTTTGCGATATGTTAAAGATAAGCAACTGATCAACTTTAGACAAAAAGCTATAAATGGTTTTGATGTTCAAAACTGTCTGCGGGCTGGACAAGAATGGCTCGCGGGCCGTATGTGTCCCTCAGGCCGCACTTTACCCAGGTCTGCACTAATGCTACTGGGAACTAAGAACAATTAATTAATTGGTCAACTTTGCATATGTTTACTTAGAAACAAGCCATTCTGTGTTCAGAACTGTGTTCAGTGGGACTTACTCAAGTTAAGTGAAATAGTCTGGAGCTTTAGTAGTTATCCCACCCAGTGAGGGGGATAGATAG